ATCTCCTAGCTTAGTCTTTTAAAATATGCACCACCTCAGTGGGGGAAGAAACCTACAGGTCAAAGGGTACCAAATTGCTTAAAGGTTTCCTTTCTATTTGTAATATCTTAGATGTGACCCTTGCTTTCCCCCTTTTCTCTTAAGAGATGAAAGACTTCTTGGAAATGCCAGGCACGCCGCTGTCATTTGGAAATGACAGCCCAGAGAAGGTTAATGCTCTCATCAAAAATGCCCATCTTCTAAGCTGGCTAAATGGGTCTTCCTGGTTCACCTGATGGTGCCTTCTTCTTCCAGGTCACTCAGCATCTCAGGGAACTGTGTTGGCAATTTAGCTGCCTTTGCTCAAGTGCTGAGAACATCTAGATTTCCCATGGGTTCCAGGTTTAAGCAAACCCAACCACAGAGATGCCAAGGAAAAGCCAAAAGCAGCGGATCAGCCTGTTGCCTTCCAAAGGAGTTTTCTGGGCCTGTTTTCTTCTTCCCGAGGAACAAAGAGGAACGGCCATGAAGGCAGCTACTATAGAGACTTCATTTCAAAATATGAAGTTTCCCAGCTGTTTGCTTCACTTCATAGACTTGCCCATCTTGCCAATGTGTCTCAGGGAGTAGCCCACATACCGCACATCTGGAACTGCCTGGGGTGTGCGCTGCACCTGTGGGTCTCTGGGCCTCATGACCCTTCCTCCTCACTGCCTGAGCCCCAAGTTCATTATTTCACTGGGACTGGAATAAATGTTGTTCATAAAAGTCCTTTCTAACTCAGAAGGTCTATGGTTCTGTCAAGAAAGAAGGATCACAGCCTCTGTGGGAGGCACATGTTAAAAGCATATGGTTGACAGGCTGAGAAAGAAGCTTGGGAGGATGGGAGGACAGGGAGCAATCTTGACTTTACTGCACAGATTGGGTGCTTTTGTTAGCTAAAAACTAGATAATGATGCCAGGAGGGAAACACAGGACCAGGAGATTGCATGGGACATTGGGCAGTGTAGGAATAGAGCAGAAGGTATAAGAGACTCTGAAGAGGAAAAGGGAAGCCTTGTGGCCACTGCCGGTCACCTCTTTACCTCCCCACAGCGCAGACACTCCCAGAGAAACCCAAGAATCCCCCTGCTCATGTTAACAGCATGGTAAAACTTCTTCAAACTCTGGTATCTAAAACCTATTGGCAGCTGTCCAAAATGAGCATGCGTGTGTGTGTGTGTGTGTGTGTTGGGGGGGTGTTTGTGTACTTTGGTAAAGGAGAGTTCTCTGATATTATCAGTTTTAAAATTAGTTTTGCTTCGGAGATAGGCTTGAACGATTTAATGTGTGACCTGGGCCAGCCTGGGTGCATCGGAGCACAGACACTGACTGGAGATGACCCTGTGTGTCCCAGTAGTAGCCCAGTGAGAACCAGAGAGATGGGTTCCCTCATTCTGTAGCAAATCCGACAAGAACGGCGTGTTAGTTTCCCATTCCTGCTGTAACAAATTACTGCAAAGTTAGTGACAAATAACAGAAATGTGTTCTGTAGTCATTCTGAGAGCTACAAATATGTAAGGGGTACTGTGGGCTAAAACCAATGTGTTGACAGGGCTGGATGCTTCAGAGGCTTCAGAGGCTCCAGAGGAAGAGCCATTTCTTACTCTTCCAGCTTCTAGCACTGTCAGCAGTGCTTGGCACATGTCCACATCACACCGGGCTCTGCTACTGTCACCACATGGGTGTCTCCTCTTCTGTGGTCAAATGTCAAAGGTCCCTGGGCCTCCCCCTTGTAAAGGCAGTATAGTTACTTTTAGGACCTGCTTAGATAATCCCAGGTAATCTCCCTCCTACGTTTGGGATACAATTTGAGTGTGTCTCCCAAAGGTTCATGTGTGGAAATTTAATCCCTATTTTGAGATATTAAATGGGTGGAAAATTTAATCCACCTATAGTGTTCCTCAGGATCTTTAGGAGGAGGTGATTAGGATCAGGAAAGGCCATCAAGATGGAGCCCTTAAGATTGAATACCAGGGCTTTATAGGAAGAAGAAAGACCACAACACCACACACACACACACACACACACACACACACACACACTCCCTCTTCCTTGCCATGTGATGCCCTGGGCCACCTCCAGATTCTGGCAGAAAGAAGACCATCGCAAGAAGAACCTCAAAACTATGAGCTAAATAAACCTCTTCATTAAAGTTTCCCAGCCTCAGGCATTTTGTTCTAGTAATAAAAATGGACTAATATGTTCCATGCTTCAGGGTCCTTCATATAAGCACAACCTTAAGATTCCCTTTTCCCATACAAGGTAACATTCACAGGTTCCTGAGGTTAAGGTATGGATATCTTTGGGTGCCACTATTCAATCTACCCCAGCAGACTCGGGAAATGTGATATAGGAAGAATAGGTTTGTTGGAAAGGAGGGAAACATAATGTAAGTGATTCCTGGAGAGCAGCTAGCAATATAAGAGTTTGGCCCAACGCCATCTCTATATGAACACATCCGGGCAACTGGCTATACTGACCTCATCTCATTGTACAGACATAGAATCTTTATAAGCTTCACAGCAACAGGTATGTGTTGCCAATATTTGCAGCTTAATTCCAAGGAGTAGAGTTAGGAAAGAATCTCCCGCTTCCACCCTGACAGTTCCCTCATACTGTCCACGTTAGACATTGGTTTATTATCATTGGACTTGGGTTAAAGAGGAAAAGAGGCTACTAGTCCACGTATCAGTGAGGCTCAAGGCCAAAGGAAAAGGCAGTAATTCAGAATTTCTCTCACTGTTGCTTGTCTTCTCAACCAAAGCCTAGTTCAACCTTAGTATCAGAAAGAGATAAAAAAAAAAAAAAAATCCACAAGTCCAGGGGATGCTGAGAGATGGATTGCTCTATGTGCACGAAAGAGATCACTGACGATGTCTGACACTGTGATCAGGGCAGGCCTTTCATGATGGGGTCTTATGTCTTTTTATGTATGTCCAAGAGAAGAATTCTTTATAAATCTATGACATTAGCCAGATGAAAAAATCACTGATTCTTTGAACTGAATTTCCACAAAGTAAAACAAAGTCCAGTCTAAACACTTTTTCTGAAGTTCTGACATCATTTTATGGCTCCATACCATGTGGAAAACTGCATTTGCTATTCAGACACTTCATTCCTTGTTACCTTACTGTCTGAAAAATCACAGGGTGAAGTGTATGATGAAACATTTGTGGGTACCCTGAGCCCTCACATTTTCTAGTTCACATCATTAATCCTACTTCCTCTGGCTCTGGAATACATTGGTTCCAAATACTTCACCCTAGAGGATCTTTCTGCTAAATATCACAGATGACTGCGAGCATTGCTATCCATTGTTACACTCCCTTCCCTCCTCTGAGAATTTTCTGCAAGTACTTTTTGTTCTCATCATATTCTCTCTTCCTCCTTGTGTCTCCCAGAAAACCCTGCTTTGTTTCAGTCCCCCTATCCTCTATTTCAGAGCCTTCTCCCTCAGCAAAAGCATCTTGGTCTAAGATACCTACTTATGGAATCAAGTAGCCTGACGGTTCCAGAATCCCACACAGTGGGATTTCAGAGTTGAGTTTTATATGTTTATTTTTATATCAGCAGTTTTGGACACTCAACTATTAAGGCAGAGTTAGGAAAAGAAAAGCCCAAAGGCAGCATAATCCCTTTGTGGGATCAACAACTAACAAATAGGTATTTGGGGTTGAAGAGGAGCGATGGATTTTCAGCAAGACCAGCTTCAGCTGGAGGCAGATAAACAATCCTGCAATTTAGACCACAAAGGAGGACAATGTGAGCGGAGCGAGTTGCAGAAATAAAATCCGCCCCTCAAAATTCCTTGACCCTAAGCATGAAATCTCTTTAGAATGGTCCCAGCAGTCCAAAAGGCAAACAGCATGAGTATTTTGTAAGTCTATAGCTGTGCTTTACCTGCCAGCAGAGCTGTTAGAATTTAATAGGTTCATACCAAATGCTCTACTGTTTTTGAAACACCTATTACACAAGGCGTGTTTTCAAAACTGACTTTCCCCCAACCAAGAGCAAAGGAAATCGACCCAGAAGAGAAACAGGAAATTAACTGCATGGGCTTGACTTCAGTGACATAGGCTAGAAAGTTCTGAACTGTTGCTGCTGTCATTTAATGGGACTCAATCGCCATGGGTCTGCTGGCCCTACACAAAGGAAAGCCTGTTTTGGCTTCTGTAGGGCACCATTAAGTGGAGACCAGGCCCATGAGGATCAGCTATAGAGACCCATGCCCTGGTCTCCTGACTTATAGTCACACCTGGCACCGGCAGGCCCCTGGTTCTCAGCTCTCTCAGAGCGTAGTCCAGCCCTCATGCTCACCGCGACCTTGTGGGTTGGGGTGGTTATTATAACTCCTACTTAAAGACTTGAGGGTGAACGCTCAGAGAACTTTAATCACTTGCCTGATCACTGCTAGTAAATAGCACTGTTGGTGTCTGAGCTCAGGCTCTCTGCCTGTATTCCCTAGTACATGCCTAAGGTACCTCCTTGATCAGTTTCTCTCTGATTCTTATAGGAATTTGCCAGGAAGTGCTGGAGAATTTGGTTTACTTACAATTTCTCCCTCCACTTTGCCTTTCCTATACCAGTTCTGCCCTTCAAAATGTGCTGTCTCTGAATCTGTATGTGTGTTTCTGTCTTTCTGTCTCTCCGTTCCCTGCATCAGAGATTCCATTCGATCTTCAGGTGAAGTATTTATGTAGAAATAAGCAGAATGGATGGAAGAAGCCCCCCACTGACTTCTTCTTTTGCTTCCTCACTGAGTTTCTCTGCATCCAATCTCTCAGCCCCCCACACCACAGACCCAACATGCTAGAACATGTGTCTAAGGCTGCATGACTAATTAATAGCAGAGGCAAGATTTGAACGCTCAATTTGGAGCCTCATCACCCATATGGTCTGGCACATCAGGCCGTTGCTCTGTCCCTCCAGCTGCAGGATAGGAGCCCACACACCTCCTGACCCCAAGCCCGTACGCCCACCTGATTGGCGTGAGTGCCTGTGTCCTCCTGGACAGATGCTGGGTGTCACAAGGTGTCAGCTCATTTGTCTGTCTCCCCAGGGAAATCCAGAGCACAGTGACAGCCTCTGCCCTGAGGCCCTGGCAGTTCAGAAGCACAGCTGTCCTATCTGCAGTGACAAAGCCTTCGGTTAATTTACAATGGGCATCAGGAGGCCAGGGATGCACATACTGGTCAGGGAGTCAGGGGCTCTGCTAGTCACACCTCACTGGCCCTGGCTGAACTGCCCTTCGACTGAGGAAAGAGGAAGCCTCCCTCCCCACCAGTGGAGAATGTTAAGGACACAGGTCCGCACCACAAACTACAGCACCGAATGTCTGCGAAAGAGTACCTGGTGGCCGCCCTTGTGGTGGCTCTCTGTAGCTCTAAAGGAGCCCTGGTCCAGCAGGCACAGGGCAGTGTGGCCAAGCCCTGAGGTCACAGAGACCTCCAAGAGTCACTTCTGACCTCATGCCCAAGGGAAGCCAATGAGATTAGCTGACATGATTGGTCATACAACTTGGAATTTACATCTTCTTACAAGGCCATACTATCTTTTGTACACAGCAAATTAATACTTTCAATAAGTCTTTTGCTTATCTAGTGAACAATGCAATTCTACATGGTTATCTTTTTGTGATTAAAGTGTGTATTCATCACTAGGGGTTGATAAATTATTTCTAGGAAGGACTGGTTAGCTAACACATTAGGCTTTGGGGCCACATACAGTTTGTAGGATATTTTTTGTTTTTTATTTTTTGCATTTTTTAAACAGATCTTCTAAAATGTAGACTCATTCCTAGCTCACAGGTTGTACAAAAGCAGACTGCAGGCCAGACTTGAGCCACAAGCCATAGATTGTGTTTTGTGATGCTATTGTATTATATCTTCATGTTTTTTCTTCACTAACAGCCTCAAACACTATTTAACTGGCTGGGGGTTGGGTCCACCCTGGCCAGACCTCATGGACAAGGCCCCTGGTGTGTTCCTCACATTCTGGTCAATGTTTTATATTCCATGGGAAAATGAAGAAATCAGCAGGAGGAGGTAGGAAGCAATGGAATGCACATTAAAATCTGAGTTTAATTATTGTCTTTGGATGAATCTTTGGGAATCATCGATCCTCCTAGCGAGGGTAACCTCTCCAAGCAATGGGCATCAGGACGCTGGCATAGATGCTGGGCAGTAACCAGACTTTGTGTTCCCGTGGTCTGGCACACGCTGCCCAGAATCTCCGAGCTTTCAGGCTGGCTCCTGCACTGTGGCTTTGCACTTTACTATTTCCTTTGGCAATAGCAGGAAACTGTTGAGGGGCAGATGAGTCATCCCAGGTCAGCAAAATACTTTAGAGTGTGAGAAATGAAGTTGCCTCTGTGACTTCCATAGACCCACGGTGTTCTGTTCATTGTGCAGTGGGCAGTGTGACCCTAGGTGACAATGACTGCTCTCTGCACTGACCTGTCTCCTGTCAGCAGAGCCAGGGCCCAGGGACCCAGCTCACCGCTGGTGCAGCAGGGTATCTAAGGGGCCTTGTTCAGCCTAGGCCTCCTGCATCGTCCCAGGTGGCAGCAGATCAGGATCGCCCTCCCTTGGGATGCAGCTGACTTCAGCAGAGCTCTGACCTGGGCGCCTCAGTCCCTGCTGTATCACTCACTCATCAACACAGTAATTACCTCGGGAAACTCCTAAATCCCTCTGAATCACAATGGCCACAGCAAGGGCTTTGAACTAAATGATCTCCAAGATCCTTCTACCTGGGACTTCCCAAATCCCAGGGAGGTCGCCCTCCCTGTCTGCAGCTGCCCTTAATTCCAGCTTCCTGAGACAATAAAGGGCAGAAAATTTGAACTTGCCTGCTCCCCTTGCTCTCCAGCCCCGTAAATGATCGACATCCTTTCTCATGTTTCTTCCCAATTTCATAAAAAGGAAGTGAAGCGTCTTTCACTCCATGGCTAAGTGCCCCCATCTGCTCCTGTTCCCTCCCGTCCCACCTCTCGGGGATCACATTCCCTCAGTCATTTCCTCCCGCCTGCTGCTCTCCACTCTCTGTCTCTGTCGCCTTTATGACTCTGGAAAAGCACCCAGGTAGCCTGCTCTGAAGCCACCACCATGGCTCCCTTCTTCTTCCCTGCCTCCTCCCCGCCCCTCAGCAGATGCCAAGACTCTGTCCCCTGCACCCGCAGCTCCTGACACCAGGGCTTTGCCCTGGCTGGCGAACAGAGCCTTCAGTGAATAGTCCCTGTCCAGCCCCCTGATCACCCGGCTCCCCAAGCCCAGGCTGGGAACACTGTGTCTGTCATTTCTGTGCACTTGGAACTTGCCGCAGTGCTCTCTGCACGCTGCACAGACCCACTCACTTATAGCAGATTATGGCATCCTCCCTTTCCCAAAGGAACACCCCACCTCTCCTTGGAGAGCAGCCCCCGCCAGCAGGTTCTGGTTTGTCCCCTTAAGTCAGTGGGCTCCTGGGTTTTCACAGGTTGGGAATCTTACTTCCAACCTGCGAGGTAGAGCACCCTAGAAAAGGGAGTTAAATGCCTCCTTTCATTTTCTAGCCAGTTCCCTCTTTCTTCTTCTTCATTAAAATAATAATAAGGGAAGAGGGCTTGACAAGCTGGGATTTTAAATCTCCCTAGTGGTCAAACAAATTGCATTTTTGCTACAAAGATCAGGAAGGCAGGGGAGGGGCAGATGGTAAATTGGCTGCAGGGAGACCCTTCCGGTGATGTCTTTCTACAGCCCCCAGCTGGCAAAGCCTCTGCGGCCCAGGGGAAGCCCCTCCGGTGGGCAGATCCAATCGCAAATGGAGAAACAAGGGCAGCCAGCAGGAGCCGCACCGGCAGGGAAATTATTTCCTAATAAAACTACAAAGGAAGGACGATAACTGGGCACTGCTGACAAGTATTGTTGTCTTGTATCAAAATCTCTTTATAAACCTGTTTGAAGAAAAGAGCTTGGCTCCTCTTTGAAGTCCCAGTTCAAAGCCGTTGACTTGCGGGGTGGGGGAAGGCAGGGGAAGAAAAGTCAGGAGGACTTGGCAAACGCTCTGTGCAAATAAATGCCTTGGTCCTCTGAGGACACTTTTTTGGTGAGATTTCCTGTTGAGCTCCTTATTATTAATAACAGCTTGACCCCCACATCTGTATGAGGCACTCCTTACAGACTATCTCATTTAACACCACGTTGCTGGAGGGTGGAGAGTCTATACTCACGGGCATTTCACCTAAGGGAGGAAAACAAGGAGGAAGCCGGAGACCAGCCCAGGCCAAGCTACATTCCCCACCAAGGACCCCTATTTACCAGGGGTCTGATGAGCAGTTTTCTAAGCCAGCTGCCACTCCACTTAGCTACCCCCACGTATCGCCCTTAATCTGTGTTCGCTGCCTTCGCCCCAGTTCTTCTCTCTGAAAACAGGTTCCTCTATTCTCTAAATGAGTGCTTCTCAAAGTGGGGTCCCTGAGCCAGCAGCAGCAGCATAGCCCGGAAAGTTACTAGAAATGCACATTCTTGGGCTCCAGTGAGGCAGGGAATGAGGGTGGGACAAGCTGGCTAGGCAAGTAGGCATGAGCTGTCAATCACAGAACCCCATGACACATGCGCAAACAGTTTCCAAGCCCTGCACTTGGGACCGATCAGAAAGTGTTATGTTCAATTCTTCTGGCATGATACAAGCAGGTTTTTCATAGAACAGTCTAGATCTGCCATCAGACTGAGGGAAGAGAGATACAAAAGACCCCTGCCATTAACCACATGCCCACTGTCAACTTCTTTCAGTGGTCACTTTCACCCTGAAGAATGTACTTCTTAAATGTAAAACCTTGCCACCTTTGTTCCCATGTCTGTTCAATTCTTTGTTCAGAACTTGGAGAGGATGCCTAGGAAGAGTCTATGGGACCCCAGAATCCAGATCTGCTAACACCAGCCCAGACTACAGAGTCCTGCAATATGAGTTATCACAAGTCCCCCAGGGGATTCTGATGTGTAAGAATCACTGCTCCAAGCCCACGCTTAGCTGAAGGTGGCCTGAATTTATGTAAGTGTTGTTTTCCTAGGATCCTGAAGAAGCCAGTTGCTTCTACAGAAATGGGAGTGTCACCCAAAGCAGCACCATTTCAACAATGACTTCAGCAGAGGATTAAAGAGATTAATAAATACCACTGGGGAAATAAGGATAAAATGACAGAGTTTTCTTTGGGGAGAAGTGCACATGCTGATTCACCCACCCCTTTTTGGAGTGTCTTCTTGAGAACATAAAAGGGTAATAAAAAGCCTAACCTTGTGATTTAACAATGCGTGATCATGGCACTTCTGACCCTGGGAGATACTGAGGCTCATCCTTGGGAATGAGTTCTGGGATGTCTCTCAGGGTGCACTTAAGACACATGCAAGGTGAGTCCTCTTGTCTCTCAAGAAGATAGAAGAAGGTTCACGGTCTGTTCTCTCCTGGGGGTAGAAACTGGTATAAGTTGTGCAAACCCGATACTTGATAATCACTTTTGTGCTTTCTTACATGTGTTCAACTCTGATAACACTCACCCAATATTAAAATTCCCTTCTCTCTCTCCCTGATGTTGACAGGAAGGTGAATTTGCTGGCAAGCTTACTGTGTTTTCCCGATATAGGAGCAAGGGTTAGTACACACCCCGTGTGGCTCTAGGAGGAAAATTCGGCTAAAAGCAACTGTCCTCAACCATCTTCCTTTCAGGAGTAACAGCACCCCTAAAGACCTCACACCGGTGCAGAGACCCGGAGTTCTCCTACTTCCAACTTGTACAGCTATTCCCTTATCACCCCATTTGCCGTACCTTTCCTTCTTCACCCTTACTGAGCCTGACACATAACATACATAAATGGGAGCTGTTAGTTGTTTATTGTTTATCTCTCATATTTGGAATGTGGTTTGTTCATGGCTACTTCCCCCAGTACTTGGGCCAGCATGGTGTAGGTGCCATCTCTTCCCAGGATCCCTGCCATCCCTATCCTCACTGTCCACACCCTTCCTACTCTTGAAGAACAGATGCACACCACCATATTTACCATCCTTTCTGAGACAAAACAGCTGGAAAACTCCCAAGCCGCTCAGTGTAGTGTTTGTCAGACCTGTGATACTACCTATCACAAAGTGCTACTATCTATCACAAAGTCACCCAATCACCACTTATTGCCCACAGAACTTTTCAACCCATAAAAATATCATCTCACAGAGTTTCTTATGAAGCCCCTATGAAGCAGGCAGAGTCACAGCTCCCGGGCCAGTGCAGAGATGCAGCAGGGAGAAGGTAGGGCATTGAGGTGGGCATCTGTTGTCCCCAGCTAGTGTCCCCTTTGGCAGAGAATTCTTGAATTGCTGCTTTACTTCGTGCCATGCAAATGAGACACTGATGAGGTCATTGCATTCTGTTGGATTATTATCTCTGACATTTTATTCATAATAATTATAGAGC